TAAAATTTAAAAAACTATACTGAAACCAGAACTAAGAGGCAGACAGGATGGGTTGAAGTCTTAGCCTGTCAACCATTTCCCTCAGGGCCTCAGGTCAACCAGCAACGTCAATTTAATACCTTTCAGAAGGCCAAAAGGGTGAGAGTGTTCTCACTTCTGATGGTAGAATCTTCCACAAAATTTAGGCCATGATAGAAAAGACTATTCTCCTTGGACCTGCCGGCTGGAATTTCTTAGCAGATGGGATCCATAGCAGGCTTCTTCCTTTGGCGCAAGTGGGGCAGACTAGTCTCATTGGGAGAGATGGCTCCTCAAATACTCTGGACCCATGTCATATAGGGCTTTAAAAGTAACAACCAACATCTTGAACTGGTTCCAGAAACAAACTGGTAACCAATGCAGCTCAAACAATAATGATGTTATGTGTGGGGCTTAGAAGCTTTCAGGACCACGTGCCACTACTTTCTGCACCTGCAATTTCCAAATACTACTTAAGGATAGCCCCATTAGAGCATGTTGCAGTAATCCAGCTGAGAAATGACTAGGGCATGACTTATGCCCTATGCATGGGGCCGCATAATCCAGGTAAAGGAAATGGTACAATGCAAAATTGTGCAAAGGCCTTCCAAATTATGATTGGTGCCTGCTCTTTGATCAGGAGTCATAAAACTAGGAAGACCCCCAAGTTCTGCCTCAGATCTGCCTGGGGTAGTATAACCCCATCCAGAGTTAATGATAAGCAACAAGTGTGATTTGTTTGAAGCATTTAATCTATTACTATCATTTGATGTATATATTTTATCATTTATTTTATCACAGCTACTTGGACACAGTTTAATGCACACTGAATTGTTTTACTTTCATACAAACTAAGGACAATTTTCCAGCTTCCCTTTTTAATGATTTAAATCATGTAAATTAAAAATATACTTACTTTAAGTTTGGAAAGCAGTTTAAGTTTTCAATTTTCTTTATTTGATTCTAAAAATGAAAATAGTGCAAGTCTCAGTACGTTAATAAATGCAGGAAAGGCATTTGGAAAGATTAATTTACTGTATATGAATATGTGTGTGGATTTTGAAAAGGAGTCTTTCTCCTAACTATTAGGTCTCTGTGGAGTCCTTAAGATACCTGGTACTGTTTTATCTATAAAATCACCAGGGCTGTCATCCCAAACTCCTGAAAAACAAGATCTATTTGTGGACATCTCTGAAGCCTATTTTCCTGATGCATTTTACTGCTGTAACCTTGTAAAACATTATAAGAAATACTATTAAGAATGGCAGATTATTTTGGAAAGACCAAATCCAATATGCATCCAAGAAAAATATTTTGTCCTTCATATTGGATTTAGTATTTGCTTTAAAAGTAATAAAATTAGCACCAAACCAAATTCTAATTCATCCTATCAAGATATCTAGATTCCTTATTTATGAATTCTGCTAAATATTTTTTCTGTACATCTTCAGTAGTCCAACAACAACTAAAATAGGCAAGATACTAAGCACATAAATCATGTTAAAACAGTGATCTGTCACTACTTCCAGGATTTGTGTGTGTGTGTGTATGTGATACACTTTCAGACCCTGAAATCTTGAAATGTGAAATATTTTTAAAACAGGCTTCTCTAATCCAGTGCTCCAATTATGATGGACAGTTGCTATCATTCCCAACCAATGTAAGCTCTGTCACTTTTTTCAAAGGGAGTTGGGATGTAGCTAGTGGTACATACCAACAGTGAAGGTTCATGCTTCAAATGCCAAGAAAGAAAGAAAAAATATTGCCTTTCAAAGATAGTGCTGCATTCAGTAGCAAAGAATATGGCAGAGTATGTTACCTGTTGTAAATAGATGCTGTGGACATGTTTTAATTCTGGCAGGTTGGCAATGCAGCTAATTCTCTCCCTATCTAGCCGTAGGACCTGTAGAGAAGTCAAGGCTTCAGATCTGGAATTGGAGAGATGTTTCCAGTCAGAAACATTATACCTCTTCTCCCTTCCACCCTCCCCATGCCTGCAAAAAGTATTACCAGAACCTGAAAGTTTCGTATTAATTTAAGTAATAGCTGGAATACTCACATTGTCTCTGGATCCTCTTTCTCCACTGGTATGTTCCTCTGGACAATAAGAGATTTTGTCAAGCACACCCCTTCAGTGGGGGGTTGTAAATTAGCTGAAAACAAGTAAACAAAGGATTCTAGTTTATCTAGATTTAAATCAGTATATCAGCTAAACAACTGAAATGATAAAAGCAAACCTTGTTATTGTAAAGGTTCATCAGGAAGAAAAAAAACCTCTCAAAGAAAATAAAAGATAATATATTTCCAGAATATATCAAGAAGGAAGAGGAAGATTCTTCATTTTATATAGAATATTGTTTCCTGGCTACAGTTCTACTTATAGATTGTATTATATAGTTTATTTGCCAAAATGTTGTTATTACTGGTGGAAAAAAACTACCTGAGACATGATTACTTTTAATAAGAGTTAATCATAGTTAAAGTAAACCCATTGAAATGAATGGGATAAATTAACTGTGATTACTGTAAGTCCCACTGATTTCAATCAGCCCATGTTAAGAGAATAAATCTTATAGGAAGTATATAATGCAGGGGTGTCAAACTCACAGGTTGCAGGCCGGATGCATCACATGCTGGCCCCACCCGGTTTAGCGAAGGCGGGGAAAGTCCTAATAAGTCATATGATACTGCCGCAATGATGCGAGTTTAACACCCCTGATATAATGGATGAGTCATTTTATCTACCAAACAACAACAAAATGATTTTCAAAAGTCAATATGTAGTCCTCAACTTACGGTCAATTAACAATTGTCTCACTTAGCAATAGAAAGTTTGATTTAATGAATGTGGATTTAATGAATGTGGATATTTAATTTGTGTGTAGCCTTGATTTTGTTTCTTAGTGGCAAACAGAAAGGGGCCTAGAACTCATTTGACTGCATATGACTTGCATAATGAAGTTTGCATAATTTCCCAATCAAAACCCGGTGTCTACTCATTAAAAATGTTGAAAGATTTGAAGCTTTTTTTTTCTTACTTTGAATCAAATGTGAACTATTCAGATTTCTGACTGGTGAATGAAGTTTTCAGCCATACATATACTGTTCAATGAAAATATGGAAATATGGCTATTATTGTTATTTTTGTTGCACCCACCCAAAGCTTGAGCTATAAATCTTATAAATCCAAACAGACAGAATCTAAATTAAACAATCCCTTTTATCTCAGGCTATTAGCTACATATGATTTTTGTGCCCTTTCATGAAGTCTGTTGTGTAGTAAGATCACAATGTGATTATAAAGCATTAGTTCAGAGATTTAGTATTTTAGGGACATTAACTATTCCTTAGCTCTCCACTTTCCTGCCATAATGGACAGATCAACAATTGTTATTTCTAGTACAATACAATATGCTAGCAACTACTCAAGATTTTGGATCTTTCACACATCATGCCACATATTACAGAGAAGACAGACTTCTGTGTGTCTTCTTGGTTTTTTTCTCTTGCATTCAGGCATTAGCAAAGGACTTCCCTTCTTGTAAGAATTTCTTCTCTATGATTTGTTCCTTATTCAGAACAAAGCACCAGACTTTGTAATTCAATGTTAAAATGTTTATTTAATGCACAAGTTAGGAACCTTCAGTACCATGCTGGGAGTGCAACACACTTTACAGTCAGGTATAAATACAGTTATTATAAAGGGCAGTACTTCATTTCAGAAAACTGACCTTTAGATTTATTTAATTATTTTCTTGGTTTGGTCTTGAATTTTTCTTTGAAAAACAAAGTTATACACAAATTTTTTTGTCCTTGAGATTTAGAAAAGAATTTGTTCCTTTTTAAGTTTATTTCCCCCAAGAAACTATAGTCACTATAAACAATTAGTTTGCACATGCCTAATTCTAAAATTCTCAATTTTTATTTTCTTAATAAGACATAGCCTGATTTTTCACTTTCTAATTGGCAGACCTTATCTCCTTTGCTTCTCATTCCATTCTTCCCTAACAGTGACCCTTTTGCCCCCCTACAACGATGAAACATTAACTTTTATTTATTTTACTATTTTATTGAATTGTTGCCGCTCAGAGTCATTTTCTGTGAGATGGGCGGCCAAGTGAACTGGATTACTAAATTAAACAAACTTTCTAAAATGGTGAATCAGTAGTTCAGTTCTCTTAAGAATTACTTTTCATTACCTTTAACTTTTTAAGATACCTTCGAAGTGGAGGCCTTACCTCCTGCCATGACTGATGAATCTTCCTGATGCCCCAAAATGAATATCTGTCTCTTAGAAAAGAGACCGGGAAGCTACAGCTTCAGAATCTTCATGGAAACGGCCTACAGCTAGTAGAGGGAGGGGGCAAGAATTACCATAACAATCCCTTTGCATTTACTTAGCAACCGAAGAATGCAGCCATAGCAGCATTCAAAAGTCTTTGTGGGTCCCCCCCTTCCCCCCCCCGCACAAAAAAAACGTAGTCAGGGAGATTCAGTTGCTTATAGCAGCAACTTGGAAGGAGAATTGTAAGGATTCCTTATGGGTGTTCACTCTAGGGCTGTGACCTTGGCAACATCTATGGCAGTATTTCTCAACGGCAGTCACTTTAAGATGTATGGACTTCAGCTCCCAGAATTCCTTAACCGCTCGTGCTGTGGCTGAGGTACTCTGGGAGTTGAAGTTCACAACATCTTAAAGTGGCTGAGGTTAAAAAATACCGATCTAGGATGAAATGGGCTTATCTCATCTTTTTTTTTTTTTAATACAAACGTTGTAAAACTAAAGTGTGGTACCTCTGCCTCTTTCTACGAGTGCCACTAGCAACCCCTAGGGGTTACCATATCTGCGGAAAGCAAAGAAGTCTTTCTGTATCTCTTTCCAGTCATCAAGTTCTCGGAGAGAGAAAGAGGAGGAAACTTGAAGAAAGGTTGATCACGAGACGATTTCTCGAGCCTTCGTTGCCAGGAGACAAGTTTTTTTTTCTTTTTCTTTTACGGCTGAAAGGAAAGGGATCCTTCCCCTTTAAATCCCCGCTCCCGTGATGCTCTATTCTGGCATCCACGTTTTTTGGAAATGGCTGCTGTTGGTGGTTGGGGTATAAGGATCTGTAAAACCGGTAAGGGAAAATGAAAAATAGAAGGGCTTTTCCGCCTCCGAAAATTATTATCCATATTATGGCTTGCAAATCACTTTATCTGCTATGCTCGTCTTCTTTGTCGACAAGAGAGCACTACAGCTCTCCCGGTTGAAATTCAGCCTGAATCATTCTTTCTTTGCCGATCTTTCGCCCACGTCGCAAAAATCCTAAGTTTTCGTAAATTTTGGGCTGACACAGTTTCGGATTATTCAGCTATTCATACCTCGGTAAATCAGAGGGAATGGGGTAACGAGGAGCTTTTGACACTGGCTCGTCTCCTGTAATTGATGGGAGTATTGGTGTTGAGTCTTTTGGGGGACAAAATCGCTTTCTCCCCCAAGCAGGTTTTAATATTGTGAAATACTTAAATAATTATGTAGATAATATTGTGTATAATGCTGTATGGTGCACTAGTTATGGGTAAAGTAACCAAAATAAAGTTCTTTAATTGTAAAAATACGTTGAGCTTCCGTTTATGATAGTTAATACCTAAGGTAAACAATTGTTAAGAGTTTTGCTCCTTTCAATAAATTATCCATTGATTTATAGATTCCACACTTTTAATATTTTATCTATATACAAACAATGATTGGTATGCTCTCCCACTCAAACATAAAACTACTTCTCCAATAATTTCTTAATAATTATAGAAAAGCATGCAAGTAGTTTTTATTTAATTGTCCTACTGAAAATGAAATTTGTGGGAGTCTCAATGAATGGATGGAGGCATTCAAAGCAATTTCTTTGGTATTAGTTGGTTTTTAAAAAGTTTTGTTTTATTGCCACATAGAACTTTATAAATATTTCTTACATTTTCTTTTCCTATTTACCTTCTAAGCTAAACAGTTTAAATTGTATAAATACATTGTATGAATATTTGTTTTAGATTTAAGAGACTTTCGCTCATTTTTATGCCTTTTATGTACAGTAGTACTCAATGTACAACACTTTGTTCAGTAACTGTTCAAAGTTACAGCGGCACTAAAAAAAGTGACTTATGAACATTTTTGACGCTTATGACCTTTGCAGCATCCCCATAGTCATGTGATCTAAATTCAAACACTTGTCAACTGACTCATATTTATGACTGTTGCAGTGTCCCAGGGCCATCTGACCACCTTTTGTGACCTGACGAACGAAGTCAAAGGGGAAACCAGATTTACTTAACAACTGTATTATTAATTTAACAATTACATGTTTCATTTAAAAACTGGCAAGAAAGGTTGTAATTGGATAAAATTCATTTAACATATGTTTCGTTTAACAGCAGAAATTTTGGGCACAATTGTGCTCCTAAGTTGAGAATAACTGTATTCGTTTTCCAAGACAATTATATACTTTAAAAAGGAAGTACAAGTGATATATCTAAAATCATGATGGATTTATTTAATAACGGTATGATGCTTGTTATTCTTTGTATAAATAATTCCTGAAAGTTTTCTTTATTGAGGATACTTCAGGATGACAGAAACCAAATTTGGATTTATCTTTTAGATAGATTTCATAGGCAAATTCTAATCAGTACTATTAATCAGTCTAAAATTTAGTACCCTTGATACTCATTACTAAGCCTAAATATCTTAAGAAGGCTTTAGTGTGAGGAGTTATGATTATCAAGAGTATTCTTGATGGCTTTATGATTAAAAAATATTCTTCATCATTTATATAAATTGATCTGTACATTTCTGGACTCTTCATTTTCTGTAATACTAGGATCCTTTGATTCTTCCTTATGAAGTTGTTGCCTTGGAAATGGTGGTCATATAAGAGCCCACTTGTCTACATTTACAATTTGTACTGTAATCTAATTCTCTTGTTGCTCTATTGGTCTAGGCTGGCTGCCCACCTTGCAGCTTATCCGTCATGGCTCCAAATCTGTCACACGTCACTGGAAACCAATGCATATTATGAGACAAAAGCTGATGGCAGTGACTGAGTACATCCCACCAAAACCTCTGACTTCAGAGACCTGTATGAAACCCCATGTCATTCTTCCTAAAGAAGTAATAACATTCTACTATTTTGGGATGGTTGGAATGATATAAATACTCATTTTGATTAAACTTCTTGAAAAGCTTTTTATATTTTGCCCTTCATAATTCTGCCAATTGTGAAAGGGTTCATATAATTTCTGTTCTGTAATAGATAGCCACATTATTCTAATAATGACTTAAGTATTTGATGCTATGCTCCCTCCTGACCTTTGGGAGTTAGTTAATTTGTGCTGCTCTTCAACTGTAAAGCCAAAAATAACTTCCCTTCACATCCTTGGTTATGCTCCACTAAAATCAGAATCTAGCTGTGGCTATTCTACTCAGTTGTCTGAATTTAAATACTTTCCTCATAACTGTTGGCTTTCTTGGTGTTTATTCAATTTATTTTATGGAATTTTTCATTTATATAAAATTGGATACATGGCTCTATCGTTTAAGATATAAGCAGAATTGTGGATTAGAGATGAATAATAGAAATAACCCTCTAATGCTGATAATTGGCATTCAGATAATTTATTGAAACTAACTTGCACTGATGACTTATCAAAAATAACCAATTTTTGAAAATTATAAAATTATACAATTGCCTTGACTAACAGCTAAATTATACTAGTATTGTAAAGCAGAATTCAATAAGCTGAATATTTCAATTTTACTTCTATTTTGATTATGGAAGAAAGACTGAATTTGTTTTGCTGAAAAACAAAAGCATCTATATATCATATTACCATCCAGATAGAAATTCTTCTTTCCTTTGTGATGGAATGACAGATGAATCCTTGCTGATTTGAGCCGCTTGATTTGTGTTTGTTTGGTTTAATCTTACATGATTACACAAAGTGTGTATTTTCCCACCTCCATAATAGTGGGAGAATGTTCTTGGCTATGTTATTTAATTTTCAGATAGCAATAATTCTAATGGAACTTGTTTAAATCAAGCTTCGAGGCCTTGCTAAGTTTGGACAGAGTTTGAAATAGCATACATTTAAGTAGATTGATAAGTTCATTTAATTAATATCACAGAAAGAAAAAGCTAATTAAGTAAAACATAAATATTTTAATTGGCTTCTGAAGCAGTATGAATGGTTGTTATAATTAGAAGAACATTTTATTTTATTTTTATTGGTATCCTGCTTTTATTTTTATTGGTATCCTGCTTTTATTATTTTTACAAATAACTTAAGGCAACCATTCAACACAAATTCCTCCTCTAATTTTCTCCACAACAACAACTCTGTGAGATGAATTGGGCTGAGAGAGAATAACCATTTTACCTTTGTGAATGAATCAGAATTTATGTTTCTGAAATCCACTGATATTTCGTAGTTATGAATATAATCTAGAGTTTTTATTGTCTGTATTTTCAAGATTGCAAATCCATTTTTCTCTCATGCAGGAGACTGGCTATGAAAGACTGCTATTGCGTCAAGTGAAACAAATATTTCTTGAGAATAAAATGATTGTTGTGTGCCAATACAATTATATTGCTGGAAATGATATGGTATTATTCAGGCATCGGCTGCGAAAGTACGATATCCATGTTAAATTTTTTCCCAATAAGGTACAGTTTTCTGTATTAATAGACTTTCAGAAACACAGTGTTATAATCATGCTGTATGTTAAAGGTGTTTTTTTCTTCTGTTCTCTTTAATATTTTGCCTTCCCAAAAGGATCAGCCAATGAATTCTAATTTTTAAAGAAGTTTTATAGAAAAAATGTCCCAAGGGAACTTATCCTCTTCTTTGCCAAATACATTGTCAATGACTTATCAGATGATAATTTAACTGATAAATAGCACAGATTATATGGTTGTATAATTTTATCTCTTAACTCTTGTTGCTTTGTTATTCTTGGTGCCTTCTTCATCTTGACTAAGTTTTTCTTTCTCTTGAAGTTAGTATGAGTTTATTGGTAGCATTGTAAGAGGTCCTATTTGCCATTTAAAAGTTCACATGAAAGGCAGAAGGATTATAGTTTCAGCATATTTTACTTTGTGGATGAAAAGCAGAGTTTTGTTATAGCTTCGTGATACCATTATAAAATTCTATGTGGTGGTGTTCGATCCAGCACAGATTTGCTAGAGTGGAATAGAGAGAAGCTTTGCTTGTTTCTTCTTTGTTCCTTCAAGCATCTCCCAGTCTCCCCCACAAACTAGGATACTTTAATATAACAGGAAAACCTATTTGGGGATCTCTAGGGGAAATATGATCCCTTCCTTGTTCTGCTGTAACCTCTGTAATTATGATACTTTTCAATGTAAGGCCAAATCTAATATAATCCTTTTCTCCACTTTTCCAGATTATGATTCCCTTTCTTTTGGAATCGAAATACAAGAATCTCCTCCCTCTTTTTGTAGAACGCAATCTTCTACTTGTCAGTATGGAAACAAAGGCTCAAGAAACACTTCAAATCCTGAAGCGTGTGCCACAGATTAATATGTTAGGTAAGGGATGAGTTCTGCAGAGATAATGGATGCTTCATTTTTTTTACTGAGAGGTCTTAAAACTTCTTTTTGATTAACAAAAAGATTAGCAATCAATAGTGAGGTAGGTAGGATAAGCACCGTTCTAGACATTTCTCATATTTGTGGAATTTAACTCTCAGAGTTTTCACCAATGTTTGCAATGTAGGTGTCTGGAAGTATCCAAGGTGGAGAAATTTCCTATGATCGAGTTAGATAACTAACTGGAAAAGAAGCTGTGGAAGAGGCAGATTAGTTAAGTTGAAGTACCTGGAAGAGGCATGGTTTACAACTTATTTTATAGCTGTAAGACAGGGTTTTTTTTAAAAAAAAAATTAGGTGGTGAAAGCTGCTTATTTAAAAAACTCCTTAGAACTCCTGATTTGGAAGGATGGAGGTTGTTGAGAAACCCTACCTTTTCTTGTGCATCTTAATGACTAAGGGGAAAATAAGTTGTCCACAAGGGACTAAGCCTCTTCCCCCCTCCCCTTAGTCTCAAAGAGAAAGTTGAATGCAAGAGACCAAGGCAGAGGTGGTATTCAGCGGGTAGCAGAAATTTTGAGTAATTTGGAGAACTGGCAAATACCAGCCCTAACTGGAGATTTTGCAGTATCCTTCCCCTGCCATGCCCACCAAGCCACGCCCACAGAACCAGTAGTAAAAAACTTGAATCCCACCACTGGACCAAGGCTGAATTTTTTTTTCTTTGTTCTCTGTAATTTCCACAAGGAATTAGGGGGAAAATATTCCATTCCTTACTTACAGAGTTCCTCCCCCCCTCCTTTGGTTTCTTGTGAAGAGGGGTTTTGTTGTTCTCTTAATCCTGTAGAACTAAGGTTCCAATGGAACTTTTCAAGTGTTTCTATTTGAAAACTGTAATATAATGTCTTTTTACTACTGAGTACGTGGATTTATATAGTGCTACGCAGTGGAAAAATAATTGCATATTTTAGGCAAATGTGATTGTGTGACCATTATTATTTTTTTAATATGTTACTAGACTATTTTTTAGGTAAAACTCTTGGTGAGTTCTGTTGTCTTCTGGTCACATTCAGTCACCACCTTAGTCTGTCTGTCTATAATTCTGCATCTCCATTTGGAAATAAAATGTTAAATTTAAATTCTACAATTTGTAAAGCAAACAGACTTCTGTGATCTCTTGTGTCATCCTTTCAGAGATACTTCCTTACCAGATTTTTCAATTTCTTCAACCCTGACAGTTTGCCATGAGAAGTTGTGGGTGCTTCATCACTGAAGGTTTTTTTTTTAAACAGTTTTACTGATTTTCAAAGACAATACACAAACAAACAAAACATAAAAACATACAACATCTTTTCTGAAAGCTGCTTGATCCCGGGTTACAACTCTTCGTACAGACACAAATTCAAATTCATATTCATTTTATATACCATTTCATATCTTATTACCACTTTCAATTTTCTATATAACTTCTCACCTCTTTTAACTTGCTTAATTTCATTTTATTTATCATCTCAGTTTAAATCATAATACTTATTATTCTTTGTCTGTTCTATTTCCAGCTATCCATTTATCTTTTCTCTTTAAACTAAGTTTCTCCTGTACACTGATTGGAGTATGACGCCTTTAACTCTTTCCCCTAAATTTATAACACTTAATATAATACATGACTTCCATTGGGATTCTGTTTGGTAAATTCTAGAATTACACACTATATTTTTTTAAAAAGGAAAAAATTATAAATGTATAACATAATTAAAACAACAATCCATACTAATTCAATTCTATCATTAATATTAATATTCATTTAAATCTTAATGTTTTACCCATTACTTTTCAGATACGTATCATACTTCTATGAGAACGCTTATACACTTTCCATAGTTAATTCCCCCCCACTTCACTTATATTTTATAAAACATTAGGTAATTAAAATGTTCCCGTTCCTTCCTAATTCAATTCTCTCATTTATTTCATTTCATTTATTTTATTCACAATTTTATTCTCTAAAATTACACAATGTTTTTTATAAAGAAAAAAAGGAAATTATAGGTATATGATGTAATTAAAAAAGCTATTAATGCCAATACAGATCTAATCATTAATATTAATATTCATTTATATCTTAAACACTTTACATGTTACTTTTCAATTAAATATCATACTTTTATGGGAACACTTATACTTTCCATAATTATTTCCCCCCCCACATCACATATTTTAAATCATTATTTCATTAAGATGTTCCCATTTCTTCTACTGCAATTCTCTCATTTATTTCATTACCTTCTTTTTCCTCACAAAAATTTCACTAAATTACATTAAATATTTTATCCCATTTTTGATTACATGTTGTTTCCAATTTTCTAACATTATTTCTAAATACAAATATAAGAATACAATCTAGTGTACCTTTACAGAATCCCTTTTTCAATTAAATTTACCCATTGTCTCTAAAAGAATTTTGTTTCTTTACATCTTGCTCCCCATCATTGAGGCTTCTCATCCCTTCCATTCTCCCTTGCTTATTCTTCTCCTTGGCCTTTTTACCCCCTTGTCTCTCCACCTCCCTTTTCTTCTGCTTTCCCCCTTTCTGTTGATTTCTAACATTGTATCCACTTTTCCCCTTATTTTTCTCTTTTTGGGTTGTTTTTTCAAGTGTTAAAGTCCCCTTTTTCTTTTCCTCTTTCTCCTTTCCCTCCCCAAATAGAGTCACTTGTTCATCAAAGATGGCTTCTTCTTTATCCCAATCATCCTGTTACACAGTCAGTTTTTCATAAGTACAAACCACCATTTCTGAAAATTGAAAAAGAGTGCCAAGAGAATCTTTCCCTTCTTGTTCTTCTTTTTTGTATTTTTGGTATTCAATTTTCAATTCATCCAGATGTAATGCCATTGTAGAGAGAAAAAGTTTTTCCAAAACAACCACCCAAGTGCTTTTAATCAAAGGTAGTTCCCAAAAGTTCCAAAATCACCAAACAATCCAAATAAGCTGTTTCTCTTTCTTCTTTCTTCCCTTTCTCTTTCTGGGGTTACTGTTTAGTCACAAAGTTCCAGTTAAAATATATCTTTTAGAAGTCTTGTTAATATTTAATAACTCTTTGAAGTTCTAGGCAATCTCCTCCTTACTTTCAAATTCTACTCCAATTTTTTTTTCCTCTCCCTTCCCACTTACAGCAAAAACTATTTTTTTTTAATATTCAGAAATCCTTATCCCTTTAGCATTTAATTACCTTCAATGCGGGTTTTCCTATTTCTCTTGCAGTTCTGTTCGCTGTCACGTTAGGAAGAAGAGTGAAAAGAAAGAAAAAAATTTCCCTTTTAAATTTCCATTTGCCGCTTGTAAGTCTCTGGGAACGATATATCTTGGGCAACTTTTAAAATCCAGGATAGTTTCGCTGTTACTTTTCCCAGTCAGCAAAAAACACTTTCACTTCTTCACAACTCCTCCTGCACTTTTTTTTCCGGCTGAGCGCTTCTATGTGGCGGTCATTTCTGACCACCGCTCAGCTGCCTTCGGAAAAGGGGGTTTTGCCAGCTAGGGAAGAGAGGTGCGATATCTCTCGACCCTGCCAGGTTCTTTGTCCTTCTACGGAGGTGGCTAACCCTGAAGCTGGGTGGCTCAGGGCATTTGGGCAGTGAACACAGGCAGAAACCGCGCACAGTCGCAGATTCCTGCCTGCCCTGAAGCCTGCAGACCGGAACTCCCTCACTGAAGGTTTTTAAAAAGAGACTGGACACTTGTCTGACATAGTATGAGCAGGGAGTTGGACTAGAAGACCTCTAAGGTCCTTTCCAGCTCTATTCTGATTGATTGATCGATTGATTGACAGAGCTGCTAATGTACTGCCTTCACTGGAAAAGTTGAGACACATTCTGCATCTGCCTTGAAGATAGCCCATGTTGAATTTTATGGTACAGTGAAACCAGGGATGGGATTCAAATTTTTTAACAACCGGTTCTGTGGATGTGGCTTGGTGGTCATGTGACTGGCTGGGTGTGGCCAACTCAACATCACTCACATCTAGGCCTGCCTGGCCTCTCATGACTGTGGAGATGCTGCAACAGTTGTAAGTGTGAAAAACAGTCATAAGTCACTTTTTTCAGTGCCCTTGTAACTTTGAATGGTCACTCCACACAAGCAAAGTACCAGCAAAGGAGGAAAAAAAACTCCAGAGAAGTTCCAGAGACAGGAAGTCTAGTCCTGCCAAGAATGTAATAAGGGTTAATGGAGAGGCAGTTTCTGTAAGCAATACCAGAATGTTTCCTTCCTGCCTTCCTTACAGGATTAGGCCAGTAATTTCTTCTAACAACCGGTTCTCCAACCTGCTTAGAATGTTAACCGGTCCTAGCGAATAGGTGCGAACCTGTAGAATCCCACCCCTGACTGAAACATCAGCAGAGGAAATATTTTACAATATTTTATATTTTGTCATAAATAGTTTTATAATGCTTACCTGAAAAATGTCTTATAAAATTTGAATTCCATGGGAGTCATGGATCCTGGATTTTGGACATTTTTGTAAGTTAGACCATTTAAAGTACCTTGGTTCAAAACATTTTGCCCTATAGTGTTCTGTTTTGCCCAGTTAACGGTTACATGAAAGAGAGTTTTAGTAATATATAGATATCTATCCTAACTAGAATGTTTTTGTTTCATTTTTTTTTCAGGAGCTTGCATCGATAATGTCATCCTAAGCAAACAAGGCTTTGTAAATTATGCTAAGCTGCCATCTATAGTAACTGCCCAGGGAGAAACTGCAGGTGTATTCTCACTCATGACATCTCACACTAGCAGACTTTTGCAGCGTGGTTCTGTTCATCTCAGTTCGTTGCTGGACCAATATGTTCAACAGGAAAATGAAAAAGTTGAAGGAAAAGCAGATAGGAACATCAGCTAAACTGCGAGCAATTTAATTCTTCAGTGTAAAATTGTCATTTTTTTTTGTTGCATACCATGGGTTGGTGGGAGGGGTTAATTAGTATGATTGACCAGGTGGAGAAAAATGCTGCAGAACGAGACTATAAACAAGGAATCTTATTAACTATTTGCTTATTTAATACTACATGTTTATAAAATGTTATTGTATGTGGAGGACCATAGGTATTATTTAAATCACATATGTTCAGGTGCAGTACATAGTTTAAATATGAATACAATTTTATTAATTTGCATAATTTCTGGTTTAGGTTGGGCAAGAAACAATCTTTAATAGGAACTTATGTATTTATTTTAGACTGTTTATATATCATAACTTATCAAAATAGATTGGTTGATAAAGTTAAGTTTTAAGAACTTGGATTAACAACAAAATAAAAATGAACTTCCAAGAGATCCAAAATGAAACCATATTGAAACCATGTAAAAAATAACAAACTATTTACTCTGGCACCAAACAGCATATAATTTTTATCAGTGTTTAAGAACCTAGGATGAATAATTGATTGATTTATTCTGTTAGGCCAACCAGCTGTTCTTGAAAGAACGGATGTCTTTCCCACTTGGTCCACTATTAATATGATAAATGAATAGAAATTGCAACAGTTTTAATGAGAACTAGGTTGTTTTGTATCACTTTCAGAGTTCAGGATGGGGATTCTAATCATTAGGTTCAATTAAATTGTACAATATAATTAGCATTAGAAAATAGACTTAGAAAAAAATAATTTTAAAAAGTTGAAATAGATTGCTGAATGAAAACCTTTTTGACATGAACATCTTGAATATATAAGAAAGAACATAGAAAAAAGATACATAGTACAAAATGTGTTTGGAAATTATTCAGGATTTCATTGCTTTTCACCTTTTAAATGTGCTTATGTATGATAAATGTTCTTATCTGATTAAATAACTATTAAAATGCTACAGAAATATAGGTTCGTAGTAGTTGTATTTAGTGGGTTTTACCTTAAATTAAGCATGTATAATTATTCAAGTCCTAACTAGGAAAATATGCTTCTTTGCAAAATACTAACCATCTCATTCTTTGCCATTCCTTTCTTTTGCCTTCAAATCTTTCCCAACATTAGGGTAATTTCCAATTAATTTTCTTTTCTCATTTGACAGCCCAAGTATTTCAGCTTCAGTATCTCTTCTTACAAAGAATAATCAGGGTTGATTTCTTTTATGTTGACTGATTTGATCTTGCAGTCAAAGGGATTCTCAAAAGTGTTCTCCAATGCCACAATTTGAAAACATCCATTCTTCAGCTCTCAGCCTTCCTTATGGTCCCAACCTCTCACAGCTATACATTTCTCCTAGGAAAACCATGGTTTGGAAAATTAAAAACTATACAGACCTTTGTCAGCAAGTTTATAATCTCTGCATTTGACATGGTGTTTGCCATAGCTTTCCTCCCAAGGAGCATATCTTAATTTCGTGGCTGCAGTCACCATCTTCGGTGATCTTAGAGCCCAAGAATAATGAAATCTGTTACTGCTTCCATTTCTTCCTCTTTCAATTTGCCAGGTAATGGTGGATGCCATAATCTTAGTTTTTTTAATTTTGAGTTTCAAGCCAACTTTCACCCTCATCAAGAGACTCTTTATTTCCTCTTCACTTTCTGCCATTAGAATGATATTGTCTACATATCTGAGGTTTTTGATATTTCTTCCAGCAATCTTAATTCCAGCTTGTGATTCATCCAACCCAACATTTTGCATGATATACTCTGCATATAAATTAAATAAGCAGGGTGACAATATAGCCTTGTTATCATACTTTCCCTATTTTGAACCAATCAGTTATGCCATGCTGGTTCTAACTTGCTTCTTGAGTCGCATACACAATTCTCAGGAGATAGGTAAGATGGTCTGGTACTCTGATCTCTAAGAACCTGCCACAATTCGTTGTGATCTACACAATCAAATGCTTGACATAGTCATGAAGACAAAAGTAGATGTTTTTTCTGGAACTCCTTTGCTTTTTCCATAATCCAGTGAATGTTGGCAATTTGATCTCTAGTTCATCTCCCTCTGAAATCCAGATAGTACTTCTAATAGTTTTTTGGTTCACATATTGCTATAGCTTACCCTGTAGGATTTTGACCTTGCTAGCATGTGAAATGAGTGTAACTTCGATAATTTTGAACATTGTCTTTGTCCTTCTAACCCTGTAGCCATTCTTGAGTTTTCTAAATTTGCTGGCATAGCACTTTAACAGCATCAACCGTAAAGATTTTATATAGTTGAGCTGAAATATCGTCACCTCTGCTAGCTTTGTTGTTGGTAATGCTTCCTAAGGTCCACTAGAATTCACACTCCAGGATGTCTTGCTCGAGGTCAAGAATCATATTATGGTAATCAGGGATATTAAGATCATCATTATCACATATCTATGTTGTGTTCCTTAGTTATTGTTTATTATTTTACTTCTGTTTACACTTTCATTTTTGTAAAGCAGCCTAGAATAAGTCCATGATGAGATAGGTGGCAAATGAATTTAAGAAAGAAAGAAGTAGTTACAAACCTGATGCAATCACTTCTGCAGATTAAACTGTCAATTAAAAAAAAAAAACAACCTTGTCTCTCAGTTACATAAGATGAGGGAAAGGAAGTATGACATTTGGAATATTTTCCCCCTTAAAATAATTTTGCTTTGGGTTACATGACCAGGAGGGAACTGGGAGGATGGGTCATATTGTAGCCCCCACTTTCTGAACCAATATTTTTTGGCTTAGATTAAAGCAGTTGCAGGGTTTTTTCTTCTTCTAGCCTGTAGCTGGATTCAGTCTTTTTTGAACCTGAACTTTATTTTGACAATTTCTGTTGCAATGGAAAATTTGGTTCCATTTTTTCTCTTTTTCAATAAAAATAAAGTTATTTTATTTATAATTAATTAATTATATAAAATAATGACATTAAAACTCTTCTTATCTCAGCTGTGAAAATCTGGCTTAATTTTTATTTATTGTTTAATTTATTTGCTGACTATCTTGCCAAGGAGCTACTCTACGTAGCTTTCAGTAATAAAAAGGAAGAAATGAAAAGAGTGTAAAGAAAACAAGTAAAACAACAGAATTGTAAAATAACAATGAAAAAGAACAACAGGAATACATCATTTTTTCTTTTTATGACTTTAATCTCTTGTTTCGGGGTGGAGTCAAGGCAACTGAGAGGAGCTAAGCATTTGTTGGCCAGATGCCCTTCCTGATCCTACCCAGAGCTCGCAGCAGATATTTTCTCTTTATACCCTGATGGAGAAACCACAAAAAGATGGGTAGATGGAGAGAACGGGGCAAGGGAGAGGTGGAGTATGACATAAATCCAGCAGCCACTTCCAACATGAACTCCTCCATTTGTCCCAGAGCCAGCTGGCAGAGGGTGGGAACAGATCTTGCCTTAAAGCACAGGTGTCATACTTGCAGTATCACATTGCCATCATTTGATTTATTGCAACGTTTTTCCCCTTCCGCAGAGCTGGGTGGGCATAGTGTGTATGTGACTCATCCGGCCCCCAGGCCGCCAGTTTGACACCCCTGCCTTAGAGGGTAAGATGTTCCAAAAGGCAGGCATAACAGCAAAGATGGCTCTTCTGGATCCCAATAGTTGGAGTTCTTTGACCAACGGGGTCTGCGATAGGCCCTCTCTGCCAGCACAAATAGGACAGGCTTGTCCTAGCAGGGACAAGCCAGTTCATCAAGTGTCTGGATCTATGCTATTGAGGGTTTTAAAGGTCATAACTCACACCTTGAACTGTATTTGGAAGCAGACTGGTAGCCAGAGAAGTTTGTGAAGCAAAGATGTAATATTCATATATATTTGCTCCTTTGCCCTCTGCTCTCCAACTATCCATCTTAGGGTTCTCACTGCCACATTTGTACCAGCTGAAGCTTCCAGATAGAATTCAAGGATAGTCCCATGTAGAGCTGTTGAATTATTCCAGGTGAGAGATGACTAAGGCTTGAGTAATGATCAAGGAAAGTTCACAGATGGTACACAAATGAGAGATGTACAAAAGTTCTCCTCACACTTGCCACCTGCTCTTCAAGCAGGAGACATAAGTTCAAGAAAACTCCTAAGTTGCAAACTAGGTCTGAATGAGGTAGTATAGAAATGCCCAGAACTAAGGAAGACAAAAAGGATGATCCTGAAGTTCTATGTAGCCAAAGTCACTCAATCTTTCCAGAGTTCAGTCAAAGTCTGTTCTCTAGCTCTCGACAGCTTCCAGGTATCATGAGAGGGCAGAGACATCATCACTTGGATCACTATGTGTAAAGATGTAGAACTGAGCATCATCAGCACATTGATGATATCTCAACCAATGGTGACAAATGATCTCACCTAATAGTTTCATGTAGATATTTTAAAAAGGACAGTATGGTGTCCTGTGGAATGCTACAAATGATATCGGCTGGATCCTATTAACATTTATTGAGTCTGACCTTGGAGGAAGAAGCTGAACCGGTGCAAAACATGGTTTCCTAGCCTCAGCTTGTATAGCTGGCCTAAAAGGATACCAGGATCTATAGTATCAAAGACTTCTGGGAGGTCAAGGAGAGCAGGAATTGTTGCACTATTACCATTCCACTCCTACCAGAGATCACTTTTGAGTGCAACCAGGGCTGTCCTATAGCCAGGTCCAAATCCTGACAGAAGAGTCCAGGAAATCCATTTCATTCAGGGCTCCCTGAAGCTGATCAGCAGCCACCTTCCCTCCCAAAAAAGGAAGATGGGAGATTGCATGAAAGTTGTCCAGGCAGGAGAGGTTGAGTGACATTTTTAAAGAGAGGACAAACTGGACCTTCTTAAAAGGTCCCAAGAATGTACCCTTTTGCAGTGAAGAATGCATGAATCCACCTGGTGGTCACCCTCCTAGAGGCTTTCACCAGCCAGGAGGGACAAGGGTCTAATTGACTGGTAGTCACCGTACGTTGAGAGAAGAGGACCCTGTCCACTTCCTTTGGTCCAACAGGGACAAACTGTTCCTAAATTATTGGGCATCTCACAACAACCATCTCGCAACTGCACACCAGAACAACTAGACACAAGAACAGTTTATTCCTGAAAGCCATCACTCTGCTAAACAAATATTTCCCTCAACACTGTTCAACTATTTACAAAGTGTACACTACTATTACTGTTAATCTTCTCATCACTCCTTATCACCCATCCCCTCCCACTTGACTGTTTCCTAGTATGATTTGATTGTTGATTGTAGCCTATGACTATCATTAAGTGTTGTATGTTATGATTCTTGATTCTTAATGAATGTATCTTTTCTTTATGTATACTGAGAGTATTTACACCAAGGCAAACGCCTTGTGTGTCCAATCACACTTGGCCAATAAAGTATTCTATTCTATTCTAACCAGCCAAGGGTTCTAAGCAGGAATGAATCCAAACAATTTTATTCAATGGGTTCAACAAATTCTTTTACATGACCCTGAAGATGATCACCTGATTGTTAAATTTGTTGAATGAGTTTGATTTTATCTTGTGCTTTAGAAAATTTAGAAAATATGATAAATGAAAATATCCGGTAATGAAAGAAAACCTTACAGTTTAAAAGGATACCAAAATATTGTACATCTTCTAATATCAATATGTCACTGTTACTTGCAAACTTTACAGCACTGCTTCGCTTGATGATGAGGTCTGGGCTTCTGTACTCAAATTACGAAATTCTGACCAAAAATATCCTTAAACATCCCACTTTGGACCATGTATATTTCCATGAAACCAGAAGGCTGTCTTGGATATTTTTTTCTCTCTCCTAGCAAGAATTTTGCCCAGGATTTTTTATGAGTCAGTCCTCCAAGAGGCACGGTGGCAGAGGCGAGCGAAGAGCAAAACAAATAAATTAACAAGAGTTGGCCAGCGAGAGGAAGCGACAGAAAGTGGATTTCTTTCGGCTTTGCTCGGCAGCTGCTTCCTGGTTCCGGTTTGCGGCTGCAACAACTATCCATTGCTGTAAGAAGCTCAGAAGGAAGAGCGTATGAGGCAAGTAAGCCTCGTAGACGCGTGCAGGTAGGAGGAAAAACAACAACAACCCAACGCTGCCTGCTTTCAGCTGGGGTTGGGACCTATTTGCCTGTACCTTGTTTCGGAAAGGGTGGGGCAAGAATAGTGAGGGGCTTGCTCGTTCGCTGGGCTTGCCCCGTGTCTGCCTTCTGTTTTTTTATTTTTATTTGAGTGGTTGTGTTAAGTTGGAAGAAACAAATGGGAACTTTCGGGTGAGATTGTGGAAATCGAATTGTTAGTCGACTTTATCAAGTCTGTCCTGGAATCGTAGGTCACTACATCAAAGAAAATTTGGTGAATGTTGTCCCCAGGGCAAAAAGTTGATGGAGGTTCCAAAGAAAACTCGATAGTAGTTACAATAGTTCTTTTTTTCTTTGGCGAACAGATATGAATTTTAGAAAATAGCGTGTAGATCTGATGATTGTGACATGGCATTGTGAGCATAAGTTTCAGTTACTGAGGTTGTGTCTGTTTTCTAGCAAAAAAGGGGCTGTTGATATATAAGTCTATGGAAGGATTTTGCCCCTATTAAAAAGGATACCTGTGGAAGAAAAAATTAATAGTGAGACCTGTGGAAGAAAAGGATACCTGTGGAAGAAAAATTTAATAAAAATTTTTAAAATGAGATGATTTATCGGAAATGGTGGAGTTTGACCCTTAATTGGCCCTTAAGAAAGGCTGGTTGATTCTTTTAAGATAAGTGAAATGTTATCTGAAGGATTTTGCCCTATTAAGAAGATGAGAATATACTCAGACTTCTGAGTCAGAGGTATGTGAGTGGTGGACTTTTGCTCTTTTGCATAAAAGAGGATGTGGGTTTGGGGTGAAAGATATTGAAGAAGAAAGGTGGGATGGTCACTTGATTTCTGCTATGTGACATACAATATAAGGGTATGTGACAGTAGTTGGAAAAAAAATATTGTAAGACAACTAACTGCTTTCATGTGAATTCCCTGATTAAAGTCCCTAGTTTATCAAGGGCTGCCATATCTGGGCTGAGGGAAAAAGCAGGATAACCACTAGATGGCAGCAAAGGGTTTCTGATAGCAATTGCTGATTCTATGGAGTTTGCAGTTTGGATAGGTAGCCCTAATTTCTCTAGGAAGTTTCAATATAGCAGTTCCTATGACTAGGATAAGAGAAAGATGGAGATTTTATCTGGACATCTTTTTCTAAAGAAGTAATATTTTGAAATTTACATGCATGACATATATTTGGAATTGTTCACCCATATGTTTAAAAATTGCATCCTGCAGGAGTTATATATGGGCTGTGGAAATCAGGTTCCTCAGATAGAACTTCCATGGTGTCAAAGGTAAAAAGTTCACTTTTTTTCTGTATGGAAGTCATTCACACCCATAAAAACTGAATATTTCTTTAAATTATTTGTCAGTCAGTCATCTACTTCCAAGCTTTGAGCAGATCCTATCTAAATGTTGCCACTGAATTTTAGTTTTTAATATGACAGAAGGCTTAAGCACAATCATATTTAATTAATTTCATTTACATTTAATTAAAATTGAATTTAATGTAATCAGCCTGATATTGCATGATTCACCCACATTTTGGTCCGACTCTTTTTGGAAGGCAGGACCTGACTTCAAAGTTTATTGTTGTATTTGGACTGAAGTGTTTTATATCTATGTAACTAATTAAGTAGATAGAAGGAGAGAACTGGTACATTATCACGGATGTATTCACTTACAAGCATAAATCAAATTTCCTACTGAATTTTATATAATTTAATTAGCTCATGTTTCAGATTTTTCTATATCGTTTGCTATTTCAATCCCTTTTATTGCTTGTACCTTCTTTCTGAATTCTGTCCAATGTTTTTTCATCTTTCCAGAACAGTGATGCTTAGAACGGACTGTACAATTATTCTCAGTGGAAAGTTGCCAGTTACTAAATACAGTAATTGCATTTCAGACCCAGAGCCTGGATGTTATACTTTAGGTTGGTAGAACCTAAAATAAGCTGTCCAATTTCAGCTCAGAACCAGAATCTAGAACTGAAATCTTGTTTGAGCTTCATATCTCAATATCCTTCACAGGATATTGTGTCTCTCCGTGTTAGTAATTGAAAGAAATAAAAATATTTTTTAAAAATAAATTTTATTGAACAAAACAATTAAAAATATTGAACATGGTGCAGTCAGTTTGACATGATTTTGGATCAATATCGCATATATATATATTTTCCTGTAAACAATTATTCAAATATATACATATATACTTTACATTTCCAACATCATTCATGTTCTTTTCATCTCATCCAATCATTTATTCTTTCAACAACTCCTTTTCCAACTTGACCTTCCTCTCTGCTCCCACCATCTTTGTTTTTTATTTCTAGAGTTAACTTGTCCATTTCAGCGCATATCAAGATTTTGTTTATTACTTCTTTTTTATTTGGTATAACTGTCTTTTCCCAGTTCTGGGATAATGCTATCCTTGATGCAGTAATAATGTGTATAAGCAAATAAAGCGCATCTTTCTTGTATTTTTTTGACTATAATTCCTAATAGAAAACATTTTGGTGATCCACTTTAAAACCCAACATTTCCTCCAGCCACTTTCCCGTCCGAAGCCAATACTCCTGTACTTTTTTGCAGCAGCACCATGCATAGTAATACATTCCCCATTCTATTAAACATTTCCAGCAATTTGGGGGCTGGCTTTTATACATCTTGGCCAATCTGGCTAGTGGAAGATGCCATTGATAGAACATTTTGAGCAGATTTTCCTTATATGCAGTGGCCATGGTGATCTTTAGAAATAAAAACATTTTTATTTTCACAGGTTATTGAAAGTATATCTGATTTTATTGTTATGATCACTGTCACTGTTTTGTTTTGGAAATTGGTGATGGTATTTTTTTAAAATTCCAATCAAACGGGATGTTGGAAAGAAAGTATCTACTGAATAGGGGCCTGGGAACTCTGTCTATCAGAAGAATAACTCTTTGTAAACTGAATGGAATCAGGTCAGATTTTGTGTACTTGGAATAGTGGGTAAAAGCTTGAAAGTTTGAAAAATGGGGTGGATCAGATATGGGGATGTAGATTAAAAAACCCAAAATATATCCTCATGGGAGAGATAATTGGACAGCATGTTGGAAGGTTGATAACGACTGCTTTCTGTTTGGAAAGCAGTCGTTATCCAGGCTCTCTATCAAGCAGTCGTTCTTCCAGGCTCTCTATCAAGACAAAGCACATGTATAGATAACTATGCTGTATAATCACTGCTGGCAAGGAGGTCGGAAAGAATTCCAGAAGCCATGTACTATATATTTTATGTCTTGAAAATTATGGCAATAGTATATCTGGATTTCAATTAAATAATCTTATAGAACTGTAGCAGAGAAATGCCAACAGTTATTCAAATTTCTAAATAACAACTGTCCTTAATTTAAGGGCCAATGATGTTGCTAAAAATCAGTCACAACATATCCCCCTTTATTTTGTTTCACCTACTTGTTGAAACATCTGAACACTGCCTTCTGTTCAGGGATTAGCAGCCTTTTTGGGTTAAGAGCACATAAAAAGTAAAAAGTTGAGGTTTTTATTTTATTTATTTGATTTGTCAATCGCTTATAAGATAATAGGTATAAGTATAATCATGAGTAAGAATACAGGAAATAGGTACGAATAAATGGGGACAATAGGACAGGGATGGTAGGCATGATTGTGCACTTATGCACACTCCTTATGTTACTTTTTTAATGTTACTTATTTTTTATTTTTTCTTATGTTTTACTTTTTATGTTACTTCATATTCTGCGATGAAGGGAGTTGGAAGTCAATGGTTTTTCTTCCTTTTTTTCTTCTCCCCTTTTTCCTCCACTACTTTTCCTATTATTTGCTTTTATATTTTTGTATTTTATATTGTAAACTAATAAAAAGGTAAAGATGAAAAAAGATCACATTTGGAATTTTGAGAGCATATGCAGAGCATATTTTCAGTATGACTATAGATAGTTTTCAACCTAAACCACAAAGTAGGACCAGAGTTTCTGTGGATAAGCAAGGCAGTTGTTGAATGAATCATATCCAATTTTTCAGCCTTTTTTTGCAACAATTAAGAAAATTACAACAATTGTTAAGTAAACCATGTGATTGTTAAATGAATCCACTTTTCCCCCATTGACTTTGTCAGAAGCCAGCTGGGAAGATCACAAATGGTGATAAATGACCCTAGGATTGTAAATACTTGCTAGTTTTCAAGTGCCCACATTTTGATAAGTTGACTGTGGGGGTGCTATGACAGTCATAAATATGACAATTATAAGTCACTTTTTCTGTGCCATTGTAACTTCATAGTTGTTAAGTGTATGGTTGTAAGTTGAGGACTACCTCTACTTCAACGGAGTATAATATTTCTCAACTATTCAAGTTACTTATGCATGAATGGTAGGGCCTTTATAATGTCCAAGAGAATTGCTGGAAATGAATATAATGCCAGAGACAGGTGTTTTATTTGTAACATAATTAAATTTTAAAATGTTGATGGGGCAGGGATCATGAAGGAAGCCAAGTAGGCTTATTGATCTCATTGCATTCCAGGTTATCATCTGCTGGCTAAGTGTGTCCCAACTAATACAGCAAGCTATCATTTGTAACAGCTGACCCAGTACACATTGGAAGTCAATTTGATTGGAGAGTATTTGATATGCTATTTCTTGTGAACAGTAGAATACATCTGTTTATATTAACAGAGGGGACCGAATGGCTGATTCTGTTATTCTGTTTACAAAGATCACCTTTCCCAAATGTGGTGTCTTTCAGATATAATGTGACTATGATATCTGGAATACCCAGTCCAGATAAGCATCCTGAGAATATGTGGTTTTTAACTCCTAGGATTCTCTATGTAGCTATGATATTGCTGAGAATTTTAAGAAATAAAAGCAAGAAGTGCTCACGTTTGGAAAGAAAGATGGCAACCAGAAGACAGTTGTATTTCAAGCAGGGGAAAGTGCATAGTTTGGGTACATTAATGTCTTCA